TTCCCTATTTGAGTATCCTCTTCCATTTTTCCTTTCCCTTTTTCTTGTCCCATCTTATCTTTTCCAGCTGTAATCCTAGGGGGGATTATCTGAATATTTGAGATGGTTTTTATTGCAGGGCGTGGAACTCTCTGGGGTAAAGGAGTATTCTCTTCTTCAGATTGCATAGTGCTCTCTGCCGGCTTGGCTTGGAGAGGTGTCTGCTTCCTCGTCTGGGCCCTTAGTTTAAACAGTTCTGCAATCTGTTTATTAATGGCGCCTACCGTTCTTTGGTCTTCCATTACGATCAGTGAACTATCTTCCGCTACCATTTTTGGTGACGTTGGGAATTCGAAACTAGGATCACCCTGTCTTATTAGATCGAGTCTATCCTCTAGGAAGGATTTGCCGCCTGTTTTTTCCTGTTTTCCTGTTTCCTTTCCCATTTTCCCTACCTCTCTTCTGGGTCCACTCCCATCCTTTTCTCTACTCCCACTCCTTCCTTTTATCAAGTCATCCACCTTTGCCTTTAGCTCACGAATTTCCTCTCTCTGTATTTTTATGATCTCTTTCATTTCCTTAAATTCCTTCTCCCGCCTTTTATCTCTTTCATCCCTTTCCTCAAGCTGACTTTTGAGCTTGTTTATCCTTAATTTAAGAGAGAGCGGGTCTCCGGTTGTTTCTGCCTTTTCAGCCAAGGCTCTTATCACCTCCATTGTTTTAGTGATCCTTTCCTTCATTCTTCCACTCAAACCTCCTTGCATCCGTCCACATTTGCCTCTAATTTCATCAATGTCCTTCATCCATCCCAGCCCCACGGCACTAAGTGAGAAGGCGCCCATTGACTTAAACTCGGTCTTGGATGGCTCTTCGAAGTTTCCACTCAGATCGATGTCTGGTGTACCAACTACCTTCCTTGTCCTCTTTTTGGGTCTTCCTGGCAGCGCCCGTACCGCGTCACCTGTTGGAGTCGGGGGAGGGGCTTGGCCCCTCCCCACCAACCCCCCTCCCCAAACGCTCGCCCGTCGCGCGTCACGGGTGTGCGTAAATCCCAATCCGTAATATAAACATCCACGGTTACAAAAGTAAAAATTATAATCGAGCTATATCTCCGAAACGATACATTCTACAACAAAAGTGCATAGGACCTTTTTCGCAGAACTCAACGAAATACGCTAAAAAGATCCCGTACACTTTTCCGCTAGGACGCACCATTACCGAGTTTTGACAATTTTTTATTTCTCTTTCATTTTTGACTTCAAAGACTTGGAAAAAAAAAATTTTTACGGTCCTAAATTTATATGTCCAATCCACGTATTTTTCAATTCTCTATCGATTGGCGTAGTCAAATTTTAGTCGATATTTCGCGTTCCGTATCCCCTTGGGACTTGTAAATTTCTACACCCGACTCCAAGTATACAGGGCCCAAAGGGTGGATCCTAGGCGGATAGGCTAGAGAACCAAAATTGTAGCCCATCGCGAGACCGATCGATGTCTCTCGGGAGACAACCCTCCCCCGTCAACGGTTTTCGAATTATGGACCCAAAATACCAAAGGACGCTTTACACCCCTATAACTAAGGAACGGAGACCGATATCGATACGGGACTTGCGGCAAAATCCGTTTCGAACAATTACCCTTCCATTTCTACGATAAAAAAAATTTTTTCACCTTTTCGGACCAAGTATACAGGGCCCAAAGGGTAGGTCCTAGGGGGGTGGAGTACAGGACCAAAGTTGTAGCCCTTCGCGAGACCGATCGATGTCCCTCGGGTGCCAATCCTGCGGCGTCAACGGTTTTCGAGTTACGGACCCAAAATGGCAAGGGGCGCTTTGCACCCCTATAACTAAGAAACGGAGATAGATATCGACGCGAGACCAACGCCAGAATCCGTTTCGCGTGACCAACTTTCGATTTCCGTGATAAAAAAATTTTCACCCCTTTGGACCAAGTATACAGAGCCCAAAGGGTGAGTCCTAGGGGGGTGGAGTACGGGACCAAAGTTGTAGCCCTTCGCGAGACCGATCGATGTCCCTCGGGTGCTAATCCTGCCGCGTCAACGGTTTTCGAGTTACGGACCCAAAATAGCAAGGGGCGCTTTGTACCCCTATAACTAAGGAACGGAGTTAGATATCGACGCGAGACAAACGCCAGAATCCGTTTCGCGTGACCAATTTTCGATTTCCGTAATAAAAAATGTCAAAAAAGCTGGAACCCCGTAACCCTAACCTAACCTAACCTAACCTGGGGTATATTCTTCAACAGGATCTTCAGGCTTCGCCGCGCTCGGTATCCCAGATTGGAAAAGATCGCATTCGAGGTAATTGTTCCGGCAAGAGGTAATCAAAAAAAAAAAAAAAGCCAAAAAGTTTCGAGATTTCCGGCCACCCAGTTCCTATATCGCTCGATTGAAGTCCAATCCTTACTGTTTAGAGGGTAAAAACAGCTGGCGACTGTATAATGGACAGAAAATCCACAGATTTCAATGGTATGAGTAAGTAATAAATCGGCTTGGCCGGTCACAGCTATATAGTCGCAAAACATCGTTCTCGAAGAGAAGAATTTATAATTTTCGGATCAATCATTATCCACGGGTTGAATTTTGACCGTGGTACAGTCTTTATTCCAAGCGCGTAAGCCCCACTAGAGAACATACCATTAATATAGTCTTTTTGTGGCGACCGTGACAGGACGTCGCGATTCTTTTTCGGTAATATAGGGTAATATATATCGGGAGAGACGCGGGGCGAATCGAGTTTCAAATTTCGTGACGAACAATTAGCGAAAATACGCATTAACGTGATTAACCTGGCAAGTGATCACGCGAGCAATATTTCAACGCGCAAAAGCAAAGGCAAACACATAAAAGAAAAAAAAAGCGGACAGTAAAATCCGTCGTAAATAAAATTCCGATAGCGTGAGCGCGAGGATTCGGGAGAAAAATACAGCACGTTAAAGTACGTCGTGAAAAGTTATTAAATAATAGAGCGCGGGGAAAAGACCGCAGATAAATAACAATATCAATTTTGGGAAATAAATCTGTAGAAAGAGCGAAAGGGAACGGAAATATAAAAAACGAGAGGGCCGAACAGAGATCTCGCGGCCTAAATTTTGATTATTTAAAAGCGCGGGGCAGATCGGTGGAGAAATCGTAAAATTTTCCGTTAACTTTGGGAAAGCGGGATAAAAAACTGCGAAAGTAAAGAAAAAAGTAATAAACTAGCTGGGGATAAAAGCTAGATTAACGTAAAAATCGGGAAAATTTTTTCTCGGTATAAGAAAGCGTAAAACGTTAAAAACGCGAGGAAAAAGTAGCGAAATCTACAGAAATTACTCGAAAAAGCGCGAAGATTCCAGAAAAATCGAGTCCTGAACAGGATCGAACGTGTTGGATACGCGAGACTAAAGATAAAATTCAAGAAAGCCGGGATACGCGGTTGATTGACGGGTGGAAAATAAGAAAGTTCGGAACGGGCTTTGAAATCCGATACCACTTTGCGAAAGGCAGTGGTGCGATTTATACGCGACGCCGAAAGAAAGAAATAATATTTAAGAATATTCTTTGAGAATATCGAGAATATTTCTTCAAAACTTTGAAATAAATTTTATTTTATAAGATTATACGAATATATACTTGAACATTTATTGGATGTGTTTCGATTGCGTATTTATATGGATATTTATATGAATTTATATGTATTTGTGTGAAACCATAGTTGCGCATTGTTCAAATGAATGGAAATAAGTATTGCAAAAGAAAGTTTATTAATATTACAAATCTTTAAAACAATTACGAGAAAAGAATTGAGAGAATAACTGAACAAGTTTATTTTACGAAAAAGATTAAAAAAAGATAAAAGTAAATGCAATAAAACAATAGTGATTGAATTTAAAGAAGATTTTAAGAAAAAATTTAACTGCATTGTAAAAGAAAAGATACAAGAGTAGAGAAAGACAAAGATTAAAGTCAAAATTGCGCACGCGTAACAGATTTTGATTTCAGGAAGACGAAGAAGGGAAATAAGGAAGGAAGAAATAAAATAAAAGTCATTGACGCAAACAATTACAAGAAATATAAAAATTTTTTATTTAATGTTTCTATCCCTATACAAATAAATAAAGGTGTATTAATATGTATTAATTTGTGTGCACTAATCGATATTCATTTCAGCCGACGTTACGTAAAAGACGAACGAAGTACATACGGACAGACGATCGCGAGACAAATCGGTCAAACACGGGGAAAGAATAAATATAAATTAAAATCGCGAGCAAAATGAGCAAAGACAAGCCGACAATGCCGATCCCTAGATCACCGGTAAAAGGGGCTAAAAAACAAACCGCGAGCGAGGAAATAAACGTGATTACGCAAGTAACGGCGGAAGCGGAACGGCTTAAGGAACAGAATAGCAAGTTACGCGAAGAAATGGAATACCTGAAAGAAAAGTTAGAAGATTTAAAAACGGATAGGGAAAATGGACCAGGAAAATCGGAGGACGATTGCGCGAGAGAATCGAGCGCGCGAAGACGACGCAATAGAACGTATCAAACGCGAGAAAATACCGCGTACGCGAGAAATAGTCTAGGAGAGGGAAATACAAACATGTTAGAAAACATTAGATTACCGCGGGGCGGGTGGTTAATGGACCCATTCGCGGAGATAAAATATAAGGGAAGAGAGGATGGACAAAATCCAATAAAGTTTCTTAGAAAATTCGAGAAGATCGCGGAATACGAAAATATCGATTATAAAGACCAGTTACATTACTTTAAGAAATGTATGAAGGGAAACGCGAGTAATTGGATAGAGGTAAACGATCCGGACTATATAGAAAAAGCGAAAGAATCTTTCCGGGAATATTTCTGGGGGGACGAACAACAAGCGAGATTTCGAAAAAATCTATATACCGGGAAATACAGATCGGAAAAGGGAGAAACGATGGCGGAATACGCGATAAGCCTTGCGAAACAGGCAAAGTATTTAGAACCACCGATGAGCGATCACGAGATAATTAGGTGCGAGAAAAGACATTTTGGAAACGAAATTGCGCGAGAAATACAACCGTCGACCGCGAAATCAATCGGCGAGTTAACCAGTCTATTAGATGATATGGAATATGAGAAAAAGATAGTTAAGCAATCGAGAAGACAGAATACGGAAGAAAATCAGTTAAATGCGAGGAAAACGTAAGATACGAGGCAAAGGCCGAAAACCGCATTTAGGGATAACGTACCGAGAAGATTCAACGAACAATATCCGCGCTACGGACCCGATAGAGTATACCGAAGTTACGCGACGGTGAATCAGAGAGGAAGATGGATAGAAAAAAATAGGGAAAAAAGGCAATCGTCGGTACAGATTTCGGAAATACCGAATAGCGAAGGGGGTAACGAGAATAAAAGAGTCGTAAGATACAATAGAAATACAGCGCGAGATAGGATAAAGGAAGACAAAATAGTACCGAAGGCGCAGACAACAAAGAAACGCGTCGCGGCGAGTAAAATTAAACGCGGCGAGACAATAGAGAAAGAAAAATATAGCGCAGAGGAAGAAAGCGAAATAGAATCTCAGGAAGAAGATAGAGAAAGCGAATCAGCAATTGCGATCATAAGAAGAGAAAATATATTAAAAGATGTAGACGAGGTATTCTACGAAGATCAAGCGAAAATAAAAGTACAGAAAGGACCGTTCGTAACAGCGACGTTCAATAAATTAAACGTAAAGTGCTTGATCGAAACAGGAGCACAAGTATCCGCGATGAGCAAGGAAATATACGATCAATTGAAACAAAACGGGATCAAAATGAAAATACAACCGGTAGAGAAGATGCAACTAGTAGGCGCGTTTTTAAGAAAGGCAATTAAAATATTATTTAGAACCACGATAGAGTTTAAAATTGAAAAAGCAAGGTTCGAGCAGGAGATTTTAGTCGTAGACAAACTAATACACGACATAGTGCTCGGAATAGACTTTATATGTTATCGTAACGCCGCGATACAATGCGGGGATAACGGAATAGAGATAGAACTCGAATCCGAGGACCGAAAATCGTAACTATAAACGCGATAATGCTAGAGCAGGAAGCGCCGGATATAACAAATTGTACGACAGAATAGATGGATTCGTTTTTCGGAATATTAAATATAACGGAAGAAGAAATAGACGAAAGAGACGAACCATTATTCACGCAGAGAGAAATAGTCGAAGTATTAATGAGCGACGAAGCAGAATCGGACGCGGAAAATCGCGAAATGAAAGATACCGATAGGAAGGAGAGAAGCGAGCGAACAAAGGAAAACATGATAGAAAGAATTATAGAGGAGAAAGAGGACAAAAGTATCGCGATGTTAAATTTACACGGAAGTAGGTAATCTAGGCCGTATCTAACTCACGGCCCCTTGAGTGCGAGAGAGAGGTACCCAAAGGAGAAAAAGAGATAGCGTCAGTTTGTAGGCATCTGCGGGGAGGAGTGCGGCGGGGGGGAT